AATTCCAAAATACAGTAAAATAATCCTGAGTCCGCGATCCATAACCTGCTTATTGATTTCCTGAGAATACAAGTCGTTTGAAAAGCGTCAACATAAAATATGTTGGTGAGTTCATAAGCATTTTCGAATAAAACTTTAATGATAGTTTAGAAATCCAGAAAATCCAATATTTTCTTATCAAAATAGTTGTAATTCTTGTTTCAAATTGAGTATAGTTGCATGTGTGTCTTAGATCATCGTTTTCGAAATCGTATAAATCGTTTCCCCCAGACAATCCCGTATTTTCTTATGTATAAGAATAGTAGCTTTGGTAAAAACATAACACTTGTGTGGAAAAAGGTCTCATTGAGGTAATCAAAACATGGTTGATTGCAAACCGAAAGTGAAATCTGTATAAATACGTTTCTGATATATTCTAGTGAGTCGTTATAACCATACTAATATGACGGAGTGCCTGTTATGACGTTCTTCAGGCGTCGGTTTTGTTTAAGACATTTTTCACCCTAGACTGGCCAGTCTAGCTGTAGCGAACAGCGAAGGTGCGGGGTGTCAACCCCGTATAGATCTATACACAAATTCCCACTCTCCCTCCAGGAGACTCTAGTTATAACTCTCACATGACTTAAAGCGTACAATATTGTATTAATATATGTACTGTGAAGATTTGTCTGACTAGAATACTACTCGATCTTGGAGCAAATCGTGAAAACCATTATTTACTAAATAAATAATAATAGGTGTAGTCGTAACTAGATATTTCGTTTCATTCGTTTCGTTTGTTGGAATCAATCCACTTTGATTATTTATAAATATGACCCAATATTATCGAAGTTGGCAAACAACCCTTTTTCTTTATAAAATACTAAGTGCGACTCAATTTGTCGGAAAATGCCAAGTTATGAGTTGTATCCAACTTTGACTTGTGTGAGTTTATGACAACAACTTTATGAAACGCAAATATTTCTGTCATAAAGGCTCTAATTATACATTTTCCTTGACGAATTTACTTATATCAAATAGTTACAAAATACCCCCTAATAGTTTGCAAAAAGTCTTTTATAGAGCATAAACTTCCAACTTTCGAAAATTTCTAAAAAGGGTGTCAATTTATCAAAGTCCATTTTAGTAACTTTTAGTTTTAGACATGAAGGCATAGATAAAAGGGGGTATGCTGGACACCCTCAATAGTCTGGGAGGCTCTTTTGTACACAAAGTATCCTCTATGTGATGATTTCAATTATTCTGTGATCTTTATGAAATTGTGAAATCTCACGTTCATGAGAATATTAATAAAATAATAACATAATAATATTTCACACACACCTCCAAATATACGTTCACATGCAATTATTCAAGAAATTTAGAACAAGAGTTGACTTGCACTCTCCCCCAAAAACAATAAAACTTTGAAAAAGGTGGGGTATGAATCTCACCTTGATTTAGCTTGTTGTGTGATTTTGAAGAGATGATAAGAAGTCTCCAAGCTCCAACACTTGAAGGGTTCTTGGAACTTTAGGATATTCTAAGAATAATTTTATGTATAAATATAATGGAATCTTAGAAATAATGAGGAGAATTATTATTCAAAGAAGATAAAATTACTTACAAAAAGAAATCTGGAAATTTTCTTTGAAGAGATGAAACTTGGAGCTTGAAGGAGTTGAGAGTACTATTGGGAGTTTTCTGAATGTGAATGTGAGAAGTGGGAAAATGGGAGAGTAACTTACGTATCTAAATGGAAAGGATAAGGGGTGATTTGACATTTGCTTGGAGGACTGGTGTACAAGGCTTAGTTTCTTTGGATAATACATGTGTTTACTGAGATTTGCATGGGAAATGAGGGATTTACATCACATCATAAAGTCAAACCCCTTTATTTTCTTAAAATCTCTTTAAAAATCTTGGGTATTATTTTATATAAATATGTTTTAAAATAATTAATTTTGGCATAAAATAGGGGTTTAAGGAGTCTAAGATATGAGAAATATGAGTTTGGTGTGATTTCCGGCGTCAAAATGTCCTAAACTGAAGGAAAGGTCCAAAATGAACCAAAATCCAAAGCCTAGGAGTGAATTCCGGAGTCCACATCGAATATTCGGAGCAAGGGTGAATTTCCGAAGCCATTAGATAAATTCCGGAGTCATCTACCAATTTCCGAAGTCAACAGGCGAAGTTTCGAAGCGAAGCCAGCAGTCCGGACCGGAGGCACGAAATCGGCTGGAAAATCTGAAGCTGCCTCAAGCGAAATCATTCGGAGTCAATCATTCCGGGGCGTGCGGGATTGTCCGAACCAGGGTATTCCGAGACGCGAAATTGTCCGGTACAATGTCCTTCCGGAGCACCTTAATTCCGGAGCCATTTCCGAGGGTTCCGAAGCTAGGGGAGGGTTCCGAGATTGTGAGTCCTCTTGGTTCCTTAGAAGGCATTCCGGACTAAGAGGGTTCCGGACCAAGAGGGTTCCGGCCAAGAGGTTCAGGACCAAGAGGGTTCCAGACTAAGAGGAGTCCGGACCAAGAGGATTCCGGACCAAGAGGGTCCTTTTGGGTTTTCTCCTTCGGTTTTGGGCTGTTTTCGACTGAGGAAGGTACATAGAGAGATTTGGGAGAGATTTCACATACTTGGGGAGATTTGGGAGAGATTTCACATACTTGGAGGGATTTGGGAGAGATTTCACATACTTGGAGTGATTTGGGAGAGATTTCACATACTTGAAGAGATTTGGGAGAGAGAGAGAGAGAGATACAGTGGGAGAGATTGAGAGAGACTTTGCCGGGAGCCTTTATTAGTATTTTTCTTCGTAGGTCAAAGACCGTAGACTTAGTTACATCCCATTTTGAGTGCTATACACCCTCGAAGGGCACTTAATAGTACTTTTTAGAGTTGTTACTTCCCTAAATCAGATTAGGGTTTTAAATTTTGAACATTTGAAACTTTCAAGTGTTACTTTGCATTAGGATTTATAGTTGTACATTAGTAAACATACAGAAATCCCTAACATATAAACACTAGTTGAGTTGACCAAATTGACTTGTTGACCTTGACTTGAATTTGACTTGACCAGAAGATTGCCGGTTGTCACAATATTACATATATTATATGTTTTTGAATAACACAATATTAGAATATTTCACTAGAAAAAAGTGGTATCACGGTCTTACAAAATTAGACCCTCTCAGATTAGCCTAACCCTACACATACATATATATATATATATATATATATATATATATATATATATATGTTCATTTGAGACCAAGATAATTTTGTGAAACATGGGGACGTGATCCTAGTGACTCATCTTACATATCAAAATAATAAACAAAAAATAATATATTGCAAAATAAAAGGAAAATTTTGAAAATTCTTTTTTTAAATATTATTTTTGTTATTTATTTTATCCAAAATTTTAAAAAAATAAAAAAAAAAATTAAAAATTAAATTACTGTTTTTTTTTTTTCCGAAATATAAGTGAAATATTTTAATAGAATGTTACACAGTAAATAATCGAACCGAATTTTTAGAATGTTAGAATATTATTTTATTTTATTAAAATTGGTAGATATGTTAAAATGTTTTAATCTTCTACTTGAATTGTTAGATTGTTAGAATATTCTAATATTTTAATAAAAAGTTTTGAATATTTAAAGTTTAATATTGTAGTAGAATATTCTAAAATTCTAGAAATTCGATTTGAATATTTACAGTATAATATTTTATTATAATATTTCACGTGTATATATATATATATATATATATATATATATATATATATATATTTGAGACCAAAATAATTTTGTGAAATATGGGGACGTGATCCTAGCCACTTAGCTTACATATCAAAATAATAAATAAAAAATTATATATTGCAAAATAAAAGGAAAAATCCGAGAATTCTTTTTTAAATATTATTTTTGCTATTTATTTTATCCAAAAATTAAAAAAAAATTTTAAAAATAAAAAATAAATAAAAAATAAAATTACTGTTTTTTTTTCGAAATATAAGTGAAATATTCTAATAGAATGTTACACAGTAAATAATCGAACCAGATTTTTAGAATGTTAGAATATTATATTATTTTATTAAAATTGGTAGATATGTTAAAATATTCTAATATTCTATTTGAATTGTTAGATTTGTGAGAATATTCTAATATTTTAATAAAACGTTTTGAATATTTAAAGTTTAATATTGTAGTAGAATATTCTAAAATTTTAGAAATTCGATTTGAATATTTACAGAATAATATTCTATTAGAATATATTTCACGTATATTTTGAAAAAAACGATAATTTTTTAATTTTAATTTTTTTTTGGATAAAATATATGACAAAAATAATATTTAAACTTTTTTAGAAAATTTTCATTTAATTTGTATTTTAAAAATGTATTTTTTTATCTCTAAAATAAATTGCTAGGATTACGTTCCTATGTTTCACAAAATATGATGGTCTGAAATGAACCTAACCTATAGGATAAATTATGGACCATTGATCTATATAGCCATCACGTAAAAAAAATAAAAAAATTTAGGAACAAAATTTACATAACGAGTTGGACCATTTTTCTTTTGTCTAGAAAAAATTTGAAGGAAGCCGAAGAATAAAATGCTATAAAGTTTTAGATTGTTGAAACGATTTAAAAATTGTATAATTTAAAATATGGAAAAGAAATGAGCGCGTCTTTATATTTTTTTAGCGGAAATGCTAGCGTCGTCGTTTTGTATAAAACACTAATCCCTCTATTTCCATCATCATTACACACTTTAAACGAAGCAACCAGTCCAGTATTCACCAAACAGTCTCTCTCTCTCACACACAAACAGAATGGTGCGTGAGAATAATGAGATTTCTGGAAAGTTCGCGATGGATTTGCAAAGTTTCTGTTCGGCTTGGCGGCAGGTTCGCAGATTCTTCTTCCCGGAACTGATATCGCACTCTCGTTGCTTGATCCGAAGAAAAAACTCGATAATCCTGTTCCAGTCTATCTACTAATCTGCTGGATGGCCCTAAATCTGATTACAATCGTTCTCACCGCTTTTGCTATCTCAATCGAGACTGTAGTGGAAACAGGATTCGGCATGGGGAATCCTTCGATTCCACAGAAGAACAGGTATCATAAAAAGGCGTATTTCATGGTTTTCCTTGGATGGATTTCATATGTGCTAGGCTTTGGGTTCCACAACTGTGGATTTGCTTTCTATGGAGAACACAATGGAATCATTTACTCGGTTTTCATTGTGTTTGAAGTCTTCACGGTGGGGATGTCAATTTACACTCTTCACGACTTCTGGAATACCAGTGAGCAATATATCCATGACGATTGACTGTTCTCTGTGAGTATATCTGTTTTTTCATTTACTGTTTATATGCATCATGTTTTAACCATCTGAAATCTAATACAGGTATTGAATCAGCTCGTTGTAGAAGATGGATCTCCATAAAACCGTGAATCCTTATCCATGATAAGTGAATTTTCATTTAGCTTTCTGTGTTTTTTTTCCTTTTCTGCTGCTAAGAAGTCTGAATATGAGTTCGAATAAGAACTAGTACTATGAACTAGTTAGTTACACAAAACAATATTTCAGCAGTCGATTGACGCTTTTGTTGTTAGTAAATTTCATTTCATATATGTGTGTGTTTTAATGCATATCAGCATATTCAGTAACAAATTGTTGCATTAGTTTTGATTGATGATACATGAAAGTTCTCAAATCGGTTAGTATAAAGCCATGATCTATATCGATGCCCTAGGTTCTGATTATCACCTACTCTGTTAATAAATATTTGTAGTATAAAACCTATATTACAATTTAGTGCTATAATAAGAAAAACGTGTCCTGATGGAGTTTTTCCTCAATTAATGGAAGCTCCATATCTCAACCAAAGCTTCATTAGAATCAAATGGGAGTTGGGGTTTCAACCCAAACCATAGGTTCGATCTAGGAGAAGATCAGGTAGGAGATGATAAATTCAAATGCCTTAGAATGAAATCATAGCTTCAAAATCCCTTCAATGCTTCCAAACTAGCCCTAGATCTCTTGATTGCTTTAAAAATCGCCATGGAGGTGCTCTCCCCCCTTCTCCAACGTGTTCCTCTCTCTAATGGATCCTCTTAACTAGCTACAAGTTTAGAAAATTGGCATAAATGGTCCCTCACTTCCATCTTTTATAATTTGACCACGAAAATGAATTTCCGTTACTCAAATGTTCCTTGACTAGTCAAGTAGTCAACCATTGGTCTTAAATTTTTTATTTCGCAAAACTAGTCCTTCAACTATTTTCTTCTTAACTGTTAAAGTCCATATCAAAACTCATTTTAGTTTCTAGTCTGTATTTATAAAAATTTATTTTAAAAATTATTATTTTAGTTTATATTTATTTTTATTTATTTAAATATTTAAATTTAATTTATTTTTATTTCTAAATTTTATTTTATCGCCAATAAGGGCAAAACTCTTAGGCTTGATTTTAGGATGTTACAAGGGGCGGTGAAGGTCGCATTGGTGGTTGTAATTTTTGATGGTCCGATTAGGGATGAGCGTGGGATGGAACCGGTACCGACCCGTATCGTTCCCGATTTTTCGAATACCGAATTTGATCGAAAGTTATTCCCGAATACCGAACCGAATTAACATCACCGGTACCGGTATCGGGAATGGTACCGGTACTCGGTACTAGTACCGGTACCGACGGTACCGATTCCCGAATTTCATGTATTTGGAGTACCAAGTACTGTCCCATATTTTTAAATTCGGTACGGTTCGGTACCGGTTCCGGTACGGGATCGGGATTTGGGAAATACTAATCATCCCTAGGTCCGATAGAGGTCTGGTGATGGTGTCGGTATTGATCGATGGTGGTTGCGTTGACCGGTGGTGGTCTTTTGAAGATGAGCATTGTAAGAGAGAGGAGAAAGGGTTGGTTGGGGTAAGGGTAGTATTTGTTTTTTGTTTTCATTTTATTGTTACCATCAAAAGAAAACAAAAAGGTAAATAAGTCATTGTATTATATTGTTAATAACTAAATGATAAAAATTGAAACCATAAAAAACTTTCATAAGACCTAAAAAGAAATCAAGAACTAAATATTGGCAGAAATCATAAAAACCATTTATGAAAATTATTCTTAAATTAAAAAAGAAAAAGAAAAAAAGACAAACACACTGCAATAAGTCATTTCAGACACTTAAATCATCAAAGCTTGGTTGGTTGGTGGATGTTTTAGTTCACATAACTCATTCAGTATTTTGCTTTATTAGTTTATTTTGTTAACTAAGATTAAAATTAGATAGAAACAACATAAAGTGATATTGTTGTAATGGTTAACGTATTTCGAACATTTACTTTTTGGTTAGTTATATAAAAATATTAAAAATAATATATGTTTCCTTGTAAATTATCCATCTCATCTAATGCTCGTAAAGTTAAGTTGAATATATTTGTCATTTGACAAAATAAAAAATTGCAAGGTAGATTAATAGGAAAAAGTCGATATATTGTCTTTGTTCTATATTGGTCCTATTTTATTTCTTCCATAAGAGATCCGTAAACTTTTTTTTTTTTTTTCATATACCACTTTAAAAGCCACGTCCATATTTTTACATTAAAATAGAGTGGGAAATTATGTTACCAGTGAACCCCATTTTAACTTTGTGTGTTATTATTGACACCAAACGTATATTTTTTAAGTTATATATTAACACCAAAACTATATTTTTTAAGTTATATAGAATATCAAAAATACTCATTCTAGTAATTAAGTTTAAACACATATATATTATATTTTTTCTTTTATAATATATTTATCAATTATAGGGTAAATTACATGAATGGTATATGTGAAATGACACAAATATATATTCAGTAATTTTATGTTGTGTATTCAGTATTTTCTTTTCCTTTCTCTTCTTTTCTTTCTATACTTTCATTTCCTTTTTTTTTAAATAAAACTCGAAAACTAATAAAACTCGAGAACTAGGCGTTAGGACTTTATTTCAAATATTTACATATCTATCCCTAAAGTTAAGAGGAATGGCAAAATAATAATAATAAAAACTGATATATCGTCATTTTAAATGCTTTTAATGTAGAGCTATGAACATCAAATGGGTTAGTGATCAAATCTAATAGACTTTGAAACCATAAGAGCATCTCCAACCTACTCCAATTTTCCATTATTTTTTCATTTATTCTCCCATTATTCTCCAATCCTACCCGATTTATTCCCCCATTTTGGGAGAAATGAATAGTATTAACACCAAATATAGTGTTATACTATTCATTTCTCCCAAAATGGGAATGAACTTTGAGTTGTCGGTTTTAGTCCCTTTTTTTATATATATATTTATACATTTCTAGTTTATTTTTTATCTACTAATTATAATTTAAATGTAATAATTAATACTTATAATATTGTGTTATATATTAAATTATATTAATTACTTATAAGTATAAAGTTTATTTTTTGTTTATCAAATCCATATAAAAAATTAAATACATATTAAAATTTTAAAACACAATATAATCTTATTTATTTAATATTATTATAATGAAAAAAAATATATTATATATTTGTTAAAACCAAATAAATATGTGTTTGACAATCTATAAGTTGGAAGAATGGAATATATTAGGATTATATTTTTTTGGGGGTAAAAATAAGGTAAAAAATGGAGTAGAGTTGGAGATGAAACACAATTTACCACATTCTTTACTCCATTTTTAGAGGAAAAAATAGAAGTGGGTTGGAGATGATCGTAGTTTGCACCTTAGTTCTTAATATATGTTTTTTTTTTTAAATTTAGGTCATCTTTTATTTTTATTTTTTTATTGGATTTAGTCCCTAATCGACTTAAATTGATTATTATACTCTTATAAGTTTTTGAAACTTTTTTAACAATTTATTTATTATTATCATTAGTGTAAATTCCATGAATGTTCCATGTGGTTAGGGGTGATTTACACGTTTGATCTTTAACTCGTTTTTTTTACTCATACAATCCATATTGAATGTTTTTGTTGCGTCTTTCGTCCTCAATTGGCTTAAAATGACTATTTTACACTTTATATATTTCCTTTTTTTCTTGTTTATTTTTTAGTTATTTTTTTATCATTAGAAAATATTGATGGGCCGATCTAACATCCTATTGATGTGTTATCTATCTCTATCACACATCTTGTGGAGTTATCCACCCCTTTTTTCTCCAACCCCCCGACCACCAGGCTTCTTCTCTTTGTTGTTCTTCTTCCCACATATCTTACAATCAGGGGCGGACGCAGGATTTTACAGTAGGGGTTGCACGAGAGAGTTAGGGGTTGCACGGTAGAAGAAAAAATAAAAATTTCGAAAATTTTCGAAAATTTTTCCACTGCGGCCAGAAAAGTTAGGGGTTACCGGTGCCACCGTGGACCACCCCTAGGTCCGCCCCTGCTTACAGTATGTCGAAGGCTTCCAAATCCAACAACAATTTGCGCAAAAACTTACCATAATTGAATTTGGATACCAGTTACATAAATCCTTTGAAAGGCTATCATTGAAATTCCCATTACTTGAAAATTAATCCAACACAAATATGGTTTTCAAAATTTGGTTTTACAGATTTAGGCTTCATGTGGAATCCAATATCAAAATTCTGATTTGTTTTCATTTGGATTTCATTGGGTTGGATTTGAGATTTTGGTTCCATTTCGGTTTGAGATAATATTAGTTTTTTGGCAAGACGTGGTGGTTCACAACTGTCTAAAACCAAAACCAAAATAAGAGGAAGAGGATGGAACTATAACTTCGGACCCAAAACCACCAAAGAGGAGAAAATTAAAGGACATGGTGGTTCATCGGTTTCAATGGGATGAGTTTCAGAGCCACAGACACATTCCACTACCGATTTCTAAGCAAAGCCAATCTAGATCGCCACCGATTTCTATAGAACCACTGACTAAACCAAACCACAATAAGATGAGACAACGTTTTTAACCACAAGAACGGGGGAAAGAAATATGTGGTGGTTTACCATCGCCTGGAATAGACCATCGATTTCTTCCTTATCAATCTAAGCCCCCAACACCATCTATTTATGAAGAAGTAATCGAATTTTCTTGATCATGAATCTCAATATATGTAGACAAGATGCTACATGATCCTTTGCTCAACAAAACCTTCCTTCAACCTTCAAATGACCAAAATATCAACAAATACCTCAAAAGACGAGAGGAGATGCTAGAGTTTCGATCACTTGTGATTGGCCTAGGTGCAGCTGCTACTTCTGGTGCATGCTCAATCACTTGTGGTTTGGGCTGTGGGTTTCCACTTCCAAATCCGCTTCGAG